ACAGGTAGAGAAAGTCCAATTCCTGGCCTATAGTAAGTACTCCAGACCTGTTCCTTGTTACATTTGCTGCCTATTTTTTTTTAATCCAATAGCCTCTAGGAATTGATGAATACACATTGAAAAATGAATGATTTTTAAAAACATGATGGAATGCTGTTTTACTAAACACTGAATTAAAGATGCTTATTTGCTTGAGAGGTGATGGGATAGCTGTTTACCCAGTCTTCCATCAGGACTCTACCAGACCTTTCTCTGTGAGCAAGTCTAAGAAGGTGGTATTTGAGCAAAATCCTGGAAGATGAGATGAAATCAATAGAAATGGAAAGAAAATGTTCCCTGGACAGAGGAAAGAACTTGTGTAAATGCCCTGAGGCAGAACCAAAAATCAAACAACATCATTTACCAGAGAATCCTGGAGAACAAGGAGGCCAGTGGACCTGGTGCTTGGGGAGTCAGAGGGAAAGGAGGACGCGATGGAATTGAAGCAACAGGTAAAACCAGACCAAGCAGGGCCTTGAAAGGCAGACATGTGGATCTTATCTGTGAGGTAATGGGATGGTTTGGGGCCTTGTTATGAAAACAGTCTGCTATCTCTTTTAGAAAAGATTGTCCGACTCTGGGGTCCACAGGTAAATTCTGTAAACTAAAGGAAATTTACTAACAGAGTGAAAAGATGCCATTTCCATGTATATTTGAAATTGTTAAAGCCATTCCAATTTTCAGGAATGTAAAGGAAGCAGGAAGAGGATAGATGATTTGCTTTAAAATGTGACTTTACAAAAGCCTATGGAGTATTAGAAACCTTTGTAATTTTCTTTTACTATTTTTTTTTATTATTTTTATTTTTTGTGTATGAGTGTATTGCCTGCATGTGTGTAAGTGCACCCATATCATGTTGCCCACAGAGGTCAGAAGAGGGCATTGCTACAGGTGATTGTTAGCTACCATGTGGTTGCTGGGATTTGAACCCGTGTCTTCTGCAAGAACAGCCAGTGCTCTTAACCTTAGAACCATCTCTCCAGCCCAGAGCACTGGTTACTCTTTTTTTTTTTTTTGGTCTTTTTTTTTTTGTTGTTGTTGTTGTTGAGGCAGGGTCTCCCTGTAGCCCCAGCTGACCTAGAACGCTCTGTGTAGATCAGGCTGATTTTGAACTCACAGAGATCCGCCTGCCTCTGCCTCCTGAGTGGTGGGATTAAAGGCGTATGCCACCCCCCCCCGGCAACCTTTGTAAATTTTAAATTAAAGAATTTACATTTTTATATATTTCTTCTCTCTTCCTCCCATGTACATGCGAGCATGCCACAGCGTACTTGTGGAGATCAGAGGACATCTTGAAGGGGTTGGTTCTCTCCTTCAACTATATGGCCCCCCTGGGATCAAACTCAAGTTGTCAGGCCTGGCAGCAAGTGCCTTTACCGCCTAGCTACCTCACAGCCCCCTTTGTAATATTTTAATGTGCTTAAAAATTGACTTTTTGTGTATTTCATACAAAACATCTTAAACATCTTTATACTCCCATCCCCACTGGCACCTCCCATAGCTCCCCCACTGGATTTTATTCATTCTGTCATTTACATTAAGGTATATCAAATCAAGTTACTGTCCTCAGACGTCCCTCAGTGCAAGTTCATCCACTGGGGTCTAGTCAGCCTACCTAGAGTCACTCCCTTAAAGAAGATCACCTCTTCCTCGCCCAGCAGCTGCCCAATAGCTCTTTGGCTAAGAATGGGACCTGCTGCCCATTTGCAAAGTTCTATGCTGGGTTTTGTCTGCTTGAGTTTGTATGCATCTTGTGCATGCTGACATCACTGCTGTGAGTTCATATGAGCAAGATCTCAGAAGCCTGTAAGACTCTATTTCCATATGGTCATGCACCTCCTCTCCTGGCTCTTACAGTCTTTCAGCCCCTCTTCCAAAATGGTCCCTGAGCCCTGAGTAGGTGAAGTTTAATATAGGAGTCCTGTCCAAGGACCCACACTCTGCAGACTTTTATTCTCTAAGCTTTGGCCATTGTGGCCCTTTATATTTATTGCCCTCTGTTGCATGAGGGAGCTTCATTAATGAGAATTGAGAGATGCATTAGTATTTTCTCTACCCCTTGTTCCACTATGTTCCGTGAGCCTTAGGTATAGAGGTTGCATTGTAAATGTGTCACTTAGGGTTGGGCATTTCACAGATACTTAATCTCTATGTGTGACCAGTTGTGGAAGTCTATACTAGTCTCTCTCTGTTGCAGAAGAAGCTTCTTTGATGAGTGGTGACTGAGATACTTGTCTGTAAATATAAGGATCCATATTTAGCACATAGTAAGAAATTGCATTTGTTTGGGGATGTGACAGCCTTGGGGTTTTCTCTAAGATCTCTGACCTCTCTGGCCATGTGTATTTGGCTGTGTTTACAGTACCACACTTGAGTTTCCTCCTTTGAGCAGGCTTTAGACCAATTAGGTAGTTGTTGATTACCTTCAAGATAAAAGTGCACCAATATAGTTTGCTGTGCCAGTTGTCGTTGTGGTTATTAGACCTTAAAGCTGGGATTGGACCATCAGCTGATGTTCTCCCTTAGTAGCTTGCATAGTGTTCTCCAAAATTATGAGAGCTAAGCTTTGGGGAGGTGGTTTTCAGGTCAGTTCCAGCTCCATCTCTCCAAGTCCTGTGTCTGAAGTATGTCCTATCCCCAGAATAGGGTCTTGCCTTCAAGCTCTGGGAAGCAATCAAGGGCTGTGGCAATAGCCTGTGTAATTCTGGGAGTCTCTTGGACTACTCTGGATAAGGACTCGAAGGAAGGTTCTTCTGTCTGCCACTGTTTCTTGTTATGTAGCCTTCAGATACACACATGGACTCATGTAGAGATATTGCACTGTAATTTTTCAGTATGTTTTTGAACTAATATGTTTCCCCCTGGTTTTTCATACCAGCTAGGCATTATTCATCTCTCTCCTTTCTCTCTCCCTGTCTAGTCCTCCCTCTTCCCTCCTCAGTTAAAGTACTCCTATTTCCCCCCTTGATAATACTTGTCTCCTATGGTTCCCCATCTATTGAGCTCCTTCTTTCCCTTTATCCCCATAGTTCTTTGTATAGCCCTCCCTCTCTCCCCCTTCCTATTTAAATACCCCTCTTTTACCCATTTCACCCTTGGTAACACCTGTCTCCTACGGTTCCTCTCTCGGGGTCCTTCCTTCCCTTTACCTCCCTGGTTCTTTTCCATTTTCCTGGCTCCTGCAATTACACAAGGATATATACTCATATATAAGGATTTGGTGCTAGGATCCACAAATTCAGGAGACCATATATCATTTGTTTTTCCGAGTCTGTTTTACTTCACTTAGCATAACCATTTCTAGTTCTGTCCATTTACCTGCAACTTTCATGATTTCCTCTTTCTTTACTCCTGAGTAGAACTTCGTTGTGTAAATGTATCACATTTTCATTATCCACTGTCAGTTGGGGGACACTTAGGTTGCCTCCATCTCTTAGCTATTGTGAAAAAATAATCAATAAACATGGATGCATAAGTATCTCTGCTGTAGGATGAGTTCTTTGGGTACATGCTAAGGAGTGTTATAACCAAGTCATGTAGTAGGTTCATTTTAAGAGTTCTCCACACTGCTTTTCATAGGGGTTGTATGAGTTTGCAATCCCACCAGCCAGTGAATAAGCATTCCCCTTTCTCCATATCCTCTCCAGCACTTGGTATCATTTGTTCTCTTGATCCTAGACAGCCTGACTGTGGAAAGATGAAATTTTAAACTGGTTTTAATTAGCATTTCCCTAATCACTAAGGATGTTGAACACTTTATAAAGTGTTTCTTAGCCATCTTTATTTCTTCTTTTGAGAACTCTCTGTTCAGATCCATAACCCATATTTTAATTGGGTCATTTGTTTTCTTGATTGTTTTTTGAGTTCTTTATATATTCTGGATGATAAACCGCTGTCAGATGTGTCACTGGTGAAGATTTTCTCCCATTCTGTGAGTTTTCTCTTCAGTGTCTTGGTTGCTTCTTTTGCTGTACAGAAGCTTTTTAGTTTAATGAGGTCCCATTTGTTGATTATTGACATTAAGGCCTGAGCAGTTGATGTCCGATTTAGAAAGTCCTTTCCTACACTTATATTTTGTAGGGTACTGCCTATGTTTTCTTCTAACAGTTTCAGAGTTTCTGGTTTCACATTGAGGTCTTTGATTCATTTGAAGTTGACTTTTATACAAGGTGAAGGATAAGGGTCTAGTTTCATTCTTCTACAGGTGGAGATCCAGTTTTGCCATCACCATTTGCTGCCTTTCCTCCAGTGTGTGTTCTTGGCACCTTTGTCAAATATCAGGTGGCTGAAATTGCATATACTCATGTTTGTGTCTTCAATTATATTGCATTGATCTATGTGTCTGTTTTTGTGCCAGTACCATGCTGTTTTTATGACTATAGTTCTGTAATACAGTCTGAGATCTAGTATGGTGATCCCCCCAGTGTTGCTCTTTGTGCTCAGGATTGCTTTGGCTCTCTGGAGTCGTTTGTGATTTCATATGAAATTTAGGAGGATATTTTTCCCCAATTTTGTGAAGAATGTCATGGGGACTTTGATCAGGATTGCACTGAATCTGTAGAAACAGGGTCTCCCTATGTAGCCCCAGCTGATCTGGCACTTGTTATGTAGACCATCCTAGACTGGCCTAGATCTCACAACAATCCACCTACCTCTGCCTCTGCCTCCCAAGTACTGGGATTAAAGGTGTGTGCCACCAAACCAAATTTTAATGTGCTTTGCAAAGGATGAATATTAGTTGAGTATTTTATTTGTTTAGATAACTTTCAAGCAGACTGATATTGAAAAAATTTTATATATTTAAATTATGTTCAAATAATGGATTTAATTGTGCCATTTTCATAGATGAACATCATGTATTTCTCTCATATTCACATACCACTCCCACACTGTTCTTCTGCTGGTTTCTTTCTTTCTCCCAAACAATCCCCTTCCACCTTCATGCCGTGCGTGTGTGTGTGTGTGTGTGTGTGTGTGTGTGTGTGTGTTTACATATATATTCTGGGGCTACAGGGAGACCCTGTCTCAATAAGACCAAAAAAGAAAAAAGAAAAAATGTTATTCCAATGTGCCATCAGGAGGTGTCAAGATAAGAGCAGCTTAGGGAGTCTGAGGACAGAGCCTGGACTGGAGTGGGGTGAGAAGTGCACAGGGTAGAGAGGGTAGATTTATACTGTCTGCTCTTCAGAAATGGAGTTCTGAGGTAAGAGGCAGCACAGAAGGGCATGGGGGAACTGCAAAAGGTTAAGGGGCAAAGCCACAGTGTGATGGAAAATGTTCAGCAAACCAGTCTGAAACACCAGAGCCTCTTTTGTAATAGTAATATTCTCTCACCATGGCCAATTTCCAGTTGTCAGCTTGAAAAATCTGTGAAAATTAAACAGTCAGCTCTTAGGAACCAGGATGACCCTTGGCTCTTTGGAATGGTGGAGACCCAAATGTACAGAATGGTCTCAAGTGGAAGGTGAGGGCGTTATTCCAGCACAGCACACTCAATGGCAAGGGAGGTGAAACTGGACGAAGAAATTCAAGGCACTGACAAGTTTGTGGGAGGTCCTGTGGGCGCCTCCAGATCCAGAAGGGTTCCAGGTTTTTATGTCCTGGAACAAGAAAATAGACAGAGATAACGTGGACGACAGCAAACAAAGGCAATTTACTAAGAAGGCATCTACTTCCAAGGGAGGAAACAGGCTAGGGCAAAGAAAAAGTTTCAAAGCTCAGTGGCAAAGGGGTAGGGGCCGGGCATCCAGGCTGCCTCTTGGTCAACAGGCTTTGCTCATATGATAATTTTGCAGCCTTTGTGTAAGGCCTTCTGGGTCTCATTCTGTGCCCTACTCTCCTACCTCAAAATCTACCTCAGTGGGAATGAGTGGTTCATGCACTTTCTCTCTTGGAGCTGAAGGGAGTTGTGAAAAAAGTGATTTATAAAATAAGAGAGGACGATGATGTGGTCTGTGAATGGCAACAGTAATACACATTTATTTCTGGCCCACAGTTCAGGGTGTGTGTGTGTGTGTGTGTGTGTGTGTGACTGAGAGAGAGAGAGAGAGAGAGAGAGAGACAGAGACAGAGACAGAGACAGAGACACACAGAGAGACAGAGACACAGAAAGAGATGGCAGGAGAAAGCGTCCTGTTGGGGCTACAGAACATTGTCAGCCAAGTTCTTTTGAAGGAAGGAGGTGGAGCTGCTGGTGAGCTGGAGGGCTTTGTCAATTGCAAAGTGGAGGCGCCATAGGGACAGGAGAAAGCTAGTGGAATGTAGGGTTGGGTCCTATTGAATATGTAGCAATACCAGGGTGCAAACTTCATTGTCCTGAGAAGCTCAGGTTTCTGGCAGTAGCTGAGGGAAGGATGGATTTGAGTTATGTAACTTTGTTTGGCTACAATAGACTGCACACAACTTGCCTCCAACATTATCAACAAGTTGTGAGACTTGATCCCAGGAGACATTACCTGGCTTAACCTCCAGGCAGATTGAAATTCTATCAAGCATCATCTGGCATCTGCAGTCACCGAACTCTTTAATTCCTTCCCTTAGGATGGCCTGAGTTCTAGTTCAGATTTCCGCAGCCAAATGAAGCTCTTGGCTTAGGGTGCTCCTACTTTACAGTCTTTTTCTCTCTGAAGCGTAATTTTGCATTTCTTTTTATCTGCTTGTTTTCCTCTCCTGGCTATCTATCTGTTTATAATCTGGAAACAGCTTCTTCTGTGGGATTTGTATCCCCTTAGTTGTCAGGTTGCCTTTCTACTCAATAAGCTGCTTCCAAGGATACTTCTTTTTCTTTTTTTAAAAAAATTATTTATTTATTGTGAATGCATATGTGTGTGTCCATGTGTGAGGTGTATGCATTTAAGTGTACATGCGTGTGCTGGGGGAGAGTATGTGTGCAGAGTCCAGAGGAAGGCATTGTGTGTTTTGCTATATTGGTTTCTGACCTATTCCCTTGAGACAACTCTCACTGAACCTAGAACCTGCCCTTCTTAAGTAAGGCTGGCCAGCCATGGAGCCCCAGAAACCTTTCTGTCTCCACCTCCTCCCCTTGGCTTTTATGTAGGTTCTGGGGACCCAAACTCAGGTCTTCATGCTCGCATAGCAAGTGCTCTTACCCACTGAGCCATCTCCCCAACCCCCTCATTTTTTTCGGTATTGGGGATGAATCTAGAATCTCAATCATACTAGGCATTTGCTGTGCTCCTGTGCCACATCTACAAACATATTTCCTTTGATTATTCAAAATTCTGTCCTGAAACACAAGAAAAATCTACAACTGGGACTGGAGAGATTGCTCAGCAGTTAAGAGCACTTGCTGCCCCCACATTGGGTGGCTCATAACCACTTGTAACTCCAACTCCAGGGACTCTTATGCACAAGCACCCCCCCATATTCATAATTAAAATAAAAATAAAGTCTTTAAAAGAAAAAGAAGGCTAGAGAGATAGCTCAGCAGTTAAGAGCACTGACTGTTCTTGCAGAGGACCCAGGTTTGGTTTCTAGCACCCACATGTCAACTAACAACTGTCTGTAACTACAGTTCTAGAGGATCTGATGTTCTCTTCTGACCTCTGTGGGCATTGCATGACATAGGTGCACTTGCATGTAGGCAATATACTCATACACATAACATAAAATAAAAATAGAAGTAAAAGAACAAAAAGGGAAGTCCATAATAAATAAGTAATAAATAAATATCATCAATCAACTTGATCTCATTCATTCAGTTACGAGTATTAATCACATTAATAGTAATAGCTCTACCAGTATTCCCACCTCTTTGTAAAAGCCCTTTAAAAACATAGAGAGTACATTGACCACAAATATTTTTCTGCAGGACTTAGATGCTTCTTAGTTGTCAACCAAACATGATAATGTGGTCAGTTCTACTGTATTGAGACAATACTAAACAGCTGCCAGCTCTTGTTCAGGGGGAAAAAAATCACAATTATGCTGACAATACACACGGGATTTCAAGCACTGGATTTATAACTTGGAATTTTCTATTTTTAGAATCCAGCCTCTGGAAGCAGGAGAGATGCTTGGTTGGGTTTCTGTTTTCCAGGGGTGGCCGTCAGTATGGTAATAGTCTAAATGAGAACTCAGCAAGGGAACAGAAGCTGCTGATCAGATGCTTGTGTGGGTGGTATCAGCATTAACATCCAGTTCTGTATTCCCTAAACTGTGTCCTCTGATGAAATCTCTAAGTGCTTCAGAATAAACAACAGAAAAAAAGAAAAAAAAGCCAAAGAACATCAGCCACTCTGCCAGGTGCTAAACTTCTTACACTTATTGTGCATAATAATAATTTAAAATAACATGTGTCTGTTAGCATGGCTACTGCCTAACTCCATTAACCACACACAGAAACCTATAAGACCTACAAGATATGGAATGTCTGCCTTAGTAAACAAAGATTCCCTTGCTTTGATTTTGGTGGATTAACTCTTAAGGGAGGAGATGATAATATGTAATGTTCTAATCTTGGGAGCAGAATGTCACGTCTCCACGTAGGCCTGTTTTCTTTCACCCCAAATGATACTTTTGGGGGTACCTGTAGATGCAAAGCTTCATTAAATCCATGTAAACTTGTAGCAGTCATGCACAACACATGTGATAAGAGAAAAAAGGAAGTCTCAAATGCTCTGGAGTCTAAAGAAAGGATCTTATTTCTTGTCAGGGAATGGCCAAGGAATCTTAGAGGAAGTGGAATATGAATGGTATGCCAAAGGAATGGCAAGCTTGAGACTGGATGAGATCATGGGAAGGACAGTCAAGGTAGGGGAACTGACAAGAGCAAAGTTTTCCCCATAGACTGGGTAATTTATAAAGAAAAGTATCTCTCACAGTTCTGGAGGCAAGGCAGTCCAGGGTCAAGGCGCTGACCCCTGAGAGGGCTGTCCTGCTGCTTTACAGCTGAGTAGAGGCTGTGCCAGCTCACATCACTCTTTCCTTGCCAAACCACTAATCCCATCATAGGGACTCCATCTACTAAATAACTACTAAAGGCTCCACTTCCAACTACGATGTTTCTAACACATGGAGTGTGGGGAGCCACACTGCACTAAGTAGCCAGGTTTGAGGGAATACACGATACAAAAATAAAGAAAACTAGTTTATGTGTAGACGTAGTGGATACCAGCCAAAGAAATGAGGTCTTTAAGGCAACGGGAGGCCACCAGCTGCTGAGAGCAGTAGAGGATGCCTTGGGGAACAGACAAGACCAGCACAGAGCTACGTGCGTCCTGTGTGTAGGAGCTTTTGTCATTGTTATTATCTTTCAAATCTGTCCTCACTATGAAGCACAAGTGTCCAGTGTTGATCTGCTGAAAAGTTGATGACAATATGGGCTCAAGAGAAGAGTATCAGTAGGAGCAACCGGTGTGCAGCAGCAACACCAGGCTCTTCACTCACACTTCGTCTGAGACGTTTTCCCTTAAGTTCATTTGGGAAATAAAAAAAGGCCACTGAAATCTTTGTTTGGTAAGCTTACTTCTCTTTGGTAATTCCTGTAACTGTCTATTACATAATTGTTTGCTTTTGCTTTTTCTTTCTCTTCCTTTCTTTCCTTTCTGAACCCAGGGACTTGCACAGACTTAAAAAAGTTTTATTACTGGCTGGATGTGGTGGTGGCGCACACCTTTAATCCCAGTCCTTCAGAGGAAGAGGCAGGTGGATCTCTGTGAGTTCAAGGCCAGCCTGATCTACAGAGTGAGTTCCAGGCCAGCTGGGGAAACAGGGAGACCCTGTCTCAAAAGAAAAAAAGAAAAAACCCAAACCAAACAAACAAATTAAAAAAAAACCATTTTGTTACTTTATTATGTTATCTCTGTCATGTATTCATCTTCTATTATCTATCTATCTATCTATCTATCTATCTATCTATCATCTATCATCTGTGTGTATGTGTGTGTAGACACATCCATGCCATGGCTTGTCTGTGGATGTCAGAGGAGTCAGTTCTTGCCTTCATCATGTGGGTTCCAGGGATTAAACTTAGGTTGTTAGGCTAGACAGCAAATATCTTTGTCTACCGAGCCATCCCCCTAACACCAGTAATGCAGTTCAGCTGAATGTGTTGGCTTGGGCAAGTCACTTCTGTGCATGTTAGTTTACTGTTCCTCTAATGTGTTAAATTTGAGCTGTCCCTGACCAAGGGAACCAGATAGGAGCATTGAAGAGTTTCAAGGTGCAATTCTCAATACATATCTTTAAGTTTGTGACTAATGTACTCCAGTGTTGGAGAATTTCAGATGACTTTATGGTAACTCTCAGAGGTCACCTGAGATTCCAGGTGAACTTGCTGAGCCCTATGGACTTTCCCTAGGAATTTCGTTTCAATATCAAGTTTGGTTGCCAAATTTATGGTTTCCTCAAACCAAACTTATGATAAACTTCATTTCTATCACTTTGTTGAGGGAATACAGTACTGAAGTCAAGCTATTGGCTACAAAGAAGACATGAGATATTTGTGCCTGAAGAGTCTTCCCAAATGCTCTTGTAAAAGATAAGACATTTTATTTTATTTATTTATTGTTTGTTTATTTATTTATTTATTTATTTATTTATTTATTTATTTTTGAGACAGGGTCTCCCTGTAGCCCCAGCTGGCCTGGAACTCACTATGTAGACCTGGCCTTTACAGATCTTAGTCCCCTCCTAAGTGCTGGGACTACAGATGTATGCCACCACGCCTGGCCAAGATAATACATTTGAAAAGACAGTTGGTCCCTGCATTACAGAGAACAAATGTTCAACTAGCTATACAGTGATTCTGTCTGTCTGTGTCATTATTTATACTATCTAAACATAAAATAAGAGCTTGTAGGAAGTCCCCTAAAATTTCAAAAGTGTTATGACTACTGTCCATGGTAAATCTCCTTCACTTTTTATTTTTGTTTTGCTTTGAGACATGGTCTCATGTAGTCCGGGATAGCCTCCTACTTGCTGTGCAGTCATGTAGAATGACCTTAAACTTAAATTCTTGCCTCCTACTCCTGAGCACTGGGTTTGCAGAAGTGGGCCACGACTCCCGGAGCTTTGTGTGTGCTAGGTAAGTACTCACTCTAGCACACTGAAGAGCACACAGTCTGATCTGATCTTCAGGTTCCCGAAGGAAGGGTTGGTTGTCAGAAGTGGGTGGAGAACAGCAGGAGAGAAAACTGTACCAATTACTCCACATCCCCAGCCCTCATTCTGAAAAAGGGCAAAAATCACATAGTCTAAAGATAGTGATGGTGGATTATAGAAAAAAAGAACAAACGTCCTCAATAGTTCCTAATACAACTGATGCCCCCATCTCAGTGACTGATTTTGCCAGTCACATGTTTAAGACAGAGAAAGAGAAAGCATGGGGCTGTTTCTCTAAACATCTAGAAGCAACAACTTTCATTTGGAAGAAATCTTACTGGTCACAATGTGAGAAGAGTCAGGAAAACATTCCATATTTAGTCCCAACTTCTCAGTTATCATCACGTAAAATTTCAGAGCCAAAATGTTTGCATCAGCTTCATTAAGGCAGGAAGCTCACAGATTTCTGTCTCGGGTTACGAGATTCACCAGTAACGTCAGCAACACAGGGAGATGCTTTTTCCTAGCTTTGTCCACCAAAGCCTCTGGAATAACGTGAAGGTGAATCCTCTCATGTCACCGAGTATCTGTTTCAGCCTCGCGTCTCTCCACGATCTCCACTGTTTCTGCTGCTTCAGAACAGAACCCCATGCCCACTGCTGTGAATTCACCTGGCACTCCAGCGAGGCTGGAGTCATCGGGAGTCGAGAGGCCTCTGGACTCTCCAGACCTGAGTTCTGTGTTCCCGTAAGAATTGACATTTCAAGTAAAGACTTCAAGTGCTCTTGTGCTCTGGTTTACCTTCTCTTGAAAGGTTATAGTAAAATGTCTCCATCCCACTGGTGCCCCTGTTTGCACTTGGCTTCTGAGAGCTACTGTCTGTTCCTGTTCAGGTGTTTTGTCGTTTTTCTTTCTCTGTTTTGGTGCCCTAACTTCATCTTCACTTGAGTCTCTTATTCTTGTTCTATGTCTGTGTAGGTTGTTTAAATGGCAGGTAAGATCAAATATTGCTGGGATTGCATTATATTGAAGAACTGTCCTGAAGCAGGATAGAAAGATAGAGAAAACTGGGGATATGAGAGGGGAGAGGAACCCCTCATCACAGAGTCCGGTTAAAGCCTCTCACTAAATGAAAAGCAAGAATTCTGGCACAATAAACATTGCTGTGACAGTTGCTAACATAGAAATAATATTGCTTTCACATAGACATGCTTTATCTTAAAGTAACAATAAACCAGGCGAAAGGCCTAAAGGTATATGACCTTGGGTAGGCCTCATCCCTTTCCAGAGACATCACCCCGAGAACCTCAGACAAAAACTCTTTATAGCAAGTATATACTACCTCCCTGTATCCCTGTGGGATAGACTTTGACATTATCAATTGAAATACTCTCAGGTGCTCCTCAGGAACAACTCAGAAAGAAGACAATAACTTTAAACCCCACCAAACTGAGAAGTCCACACTTAGGTTCTTGGATGTGTCTCACTTTCTTCAGAGTACCCCTCTTTCCCTCAACCCTTGTACTTAAACCTATATTAGAATATCCATATTAAATCTCAACTCTGTTCATAAGCTGACCAGTCCTGAAATTATTTTCCATGTCAATTTCCACATCAAAGCCACAAATCCCAGTGTGGCCTGAATCAAGATTCCCAGCAGTCCAGAGGAAGTCCTCAGGCTGCTGAGGGCAACAGTACAGGACTTGTTCTACAGAGTATAGAGGTCTCAAAGTGTTTGATACAGAGTTGAGAATGCTTATTTAGTTGAACAGGTATTTTATGTGCTAACTGCTTTCCTCCAGTTCTTCACCCATTTCTGGAATCTGATGGTCCTGGGGAATCTGGAAAAGGTGGGGTGGGACTGTATGTGCTTCCTATGAGGTTGGGCCTCTCTGTATCCTTTATGGCCCACCTAACTGTCCAGCCCTTCTCTTCCTGACTCCTCAGTACAATCCCATTGACCAGGCCTACAGTTGGGTAGGCTGCCTGCAAGGAAGAGCCAGGGAGGCAAAAACAAGAATCCAGCAGCTTGACAGAATTTTTCACGGGTTAGCTGCTGTTTTAGTTTCTTTTCCTGTTCCTGTGATGAGATACGTTGACAAAAGCAACTTAAGGGAGGAAGGGTTGGTGTCAAGAGCTTGAAGCAGCTGGCCACATTACGTTCACAGTTAGAAGACAGGAATACATGTATGCATACTAATGCTTACCTAAGAGGAAATTGAAAGGGAGCCATCCCAAATGGTTGGGTCTATAAAGACAACAGCTGACCAAGGAAGGAAGCTGGAAGGCTTCATGGAGGAGGTAGTATTTGACCCATCTCGACATGAGTTCACCGGGCCTAGAAGAGGTAGAGGGGCAGAGGAAACAAGTCAGATGAACTTGGGGGGGGGGGCAAACTTCCTGTTTTGGTATGAAACAAGAGGTGTAAACACTCTGTTCTGCCCTGTATATTAGCCAGAGGTCTAGTGGGCCTCAGGTCTCCTGTACTGGTTCTATGCAAGTGACTCCTGAGTAATGGAGAAGAAAAAAAAGATGTCTTCTGTAAACCTGCTTCCCAGGTTAAGTGGCTGTACAGAAGAAATCAGTTCTGGGCCCTGCCCATGCTATTGCCTGTCACTTCTCTACAGTGACCTTGGTTGTGGGCAAGAAACACAACAGTGGTCTTGACCTTTAAAAACACAAATCTGGCCAGGTGTGGTGGCATACACCTTTAATCCCAGCACTCCAGAGGCAGAGGCAGGTGGATCTTTATGAGATCAAGGCTAGCCTGGGCTGCATAGTGAGCTCCAAACCAGCCAGGGAAGGCTACATAGCAAGATCCTGCTTCAACAAAACACAACCCCCACCCTGCAAATCCTACCGTACAGGGACCTCTTCCTCACAGCCCTCCCCCTGCCCCCCAACCATGGTCTGGGCATAGAATGCAAAGTTCCACCCAGTGCAGTGTGTGATGTGGGGGAACCTTAAGCTGAGCTAGACTAGTAGGTGAAGTGGCAGATGAGCTGGCAAGATCCCAGGAGGAAGTCTGTATTCTAAACTGAGGCTAATGTGACTGTTATTCTCTTGTGTTTCCCTATTACAGACCAGCAAAATGCTGGAGGAAAGTCTTGACTTGAGTTAATGTGAGGTTACCTCGTTCCATTGGCAAGAAAGGTGAGAGCCAAGGTTTGGCCAGCAGAAAAGGTAATCATCTACAAAGTTCCTGATTCCAAAATGATACAGAAAACTCCAAAAAAACACCCCTAGCCTCCAAAATTAACCTTTACTTCTACTAATGCTCAGAGTTGAGTCCTGTGAAAGGTCAGTTGATATAAACAATTTTCTATCAGAGGCAAATTTGTAAATTCCCAGGAAAAATATTTGAGGCTGTTGGATCTGAGAAGTATATAGAAAGTGGGGGAAGAGCGGACCAAACGCCACCCTCCTAACAGCTTTAGAACAAGTCTTGGGAAGAAGTTTCAAATTAAAGTGCTTAAAACATCTGGCTTTCATTTGAAATATAATTAGAAATGTATCTTAATATGTAAGGAATTTTAAAAGCCAAGAGGAAGTACAGTTCTGGGTGACTGAGTGATGTCATTGTCCTGGCATGAAGAGGAATACTGACCGAAGACTATTTGGTAGTATTTAGAGAGGGTTTTTTTTCTTTTTTTTCTTTTTCCCTGTGTTAAATTACTGTTCCTAAAAGTTATTTACAAATGAAACAAGTATAGAAAGAATCTGATTCTATCACACAAGAATCGGAACCAGAGGCTGCCAAGGCCGATGGTGTGAGGGGGAAAAAGGGCTGAAGAGACAGCATGTTCAGAGTGCCAGTCTAGTATTTCCATTCCCTGCCCTTTCTCACTCCTGTTTGTTTTTCTTCTATTTTCCACTCCAGGAGTAATGAAGAAAGAGGAGTATGTATTTGATTAGAGAACTAAAACGATAAACATTTGCCTGCCCTGTACAGCATCTTCGCTGAGCCTGGTGGACAGCTCCAGGCCAGCAACCTTCTGTTCCACAGCTTCCTAATCACAGACCAGGGACATTCCAGAAAGCACTATGGGAGCAATATATGTTGTGGTTTGTTAACTCATGACACATAGCAATTATAACCTACCATGATCTTTTCATGAAAAGAAGGATGTTTTAATAAGAGAATAGTAGACATAACCTCAGAAAAATTCCAGAAATACCCTTAGTTTGCAAAATTAACTCCTTTTTTTTTTGGTTTTTTTAAGACAGGGCCTCCCTGTAACCCCAGCTGGCCTGGAACTCCCTATGTAGGCCAGACTGGCCTCGAACTCACAGAGATCCGCCTGCCTCTGCCTCCTGCGTACTGGGATCAAAGGCACATGCCACCATGACTGGCTGCAAAATTAACTTTTAATTCTCCTAATTCTCAGACTCAAGTCTTAGGAAAAGCCAGTTGATATAAGCTATAGTAAGATTAAAAATATTATATTCATATACATAAATGCCTATATGCCTGTATTTGTGTTTTTATAGATACATATATATGGGTACATATATACATATACATAGTATATAAGCATATAGCTTTTCTTTTAAAAATTTTAGTGTTAGCAGTGAACATTGCAAGCTACAATAACTGGTTGGGCAAGATAGGCCCATGGGTGCTGTAGTGGCATGAATATTATGCGGGTAACCAACTGCTTCCTGATTGGATATAAAGCCCTCTCCACAAGAGGAAACACATGACTGGTACTATAAATCTGGTCAAGAACTCATGGCTGAGGAGATCAGAGTCCTCAGGGATGAACCCTACTATTATTTTGCTCAATGATATAGTATCAAACTGCCCTCTAAATCCATAGATTAGTGCAGCCCTCAGATCTCATCAGTTTATTTGTGCAGTGGATAGTAGTTATTGAAGAAATAGCTGATTAAAATGCAGAGTAAATGTCAGTGGAGTGCTCAACCATCAATGAGCATCTAGAATCACACTCCTTCCCCAAAAGGCTCAGGGTCATGAGTGGAAGATGGGGCAGAAAAACTGTAAAAGCCAGAGGTCTCAGAGGCCCAGAATGAAACATGGTCTTCAGAACATGGTAGGCTGGCTGCACTTGTGAACTCACAGCAGCTGTGGGCACCTGCATAAGACCTGTATAGCAGTCAACATTCTAGAATGGAGGGGGGAAAGACTCATGAGCACCCATCCCTAACTGAAGAGCTATTGACAGTTGATGGTTGCTTGGGGAGGGAGAGTCCATTTTCTTTGAGGATATGGCCCCTGGTAGATCAACCATGCTCTATAGATGGTCACACCCCCATGAGCATAGGGCGCCACTAATTGGACTCCATGGGTTAAGAAAACAAAAGAGGACATGAAGTTGGGAGGAAGCTGAGGGGGTGGGATGAGGACCTTAGGGGAGTTAGGGGGAAAGAGTAGGGAAAGAATATGACTGAAATACAATTATGCATATATGAAATTCTCAAATAATTAAAATCTGTAGTTATACATAACAAAATTTATCATCTTGATCATTTTTGTTATTTAATCATATTTATTTTTCCTTTACAAAGATTGATTATCTTGGGAATTATTGCTTGGCATTGGGAATAACTTAGATCCAACCTGCAGTGTTTCTTCCAGGAGGCCAACACGGAGCATTTACTATGTGACAAGCACCTGCCTAATTGGTTTACATAGATCATTTAATTCCCATAATTTAAAAGCTTGCTCCTAATATTACATTTTTCAGATAAAGAAATAAATCACGGGGTGGTTAAGCCATCTGCTCTAGGTCACATAGTATTTGATGGAGCCTGACTTTCAACCCAGCCTGTCTGGTTTCAGTACGGCCCATATTCCTTTAGCATGAGAGGCTGAATATTCATGCATTCTATTATTTAGTAAATGTTGATTAAGAAATTACTATATGCTAGGCACTGTGACAGACCCCAGGGACTACAGGGATTACTGAGAAAATCCTGTAGGTCCTGAGTTTCAGGACAGGGGACACATATCCCATCCTGATTTCTCACTGATAGAAAGATTGTCCTCATCTTCCCAGGAAGAAATGAATCTCTCCACTCATTAATGGGAAGCAGTGTCTTATAATGGCTGACCAGGTGGTGGTAATCTGGGAGACATATCCTACCAGACCTAGGAGGATTTCCTGGCCATGCTTTCCTTGGTAGTCTACAGATTGAGGATGGGACCCTGGAGGAAGCCTGGCTCATTCTCTGCTGTCTGGAGATGCTATTGTGCACAGCTTCTACAGAGCCTGCCCCTAAGCCCAGCACCCATCATCTGTCATCCCCGGGCTTAGAGTCACTTGTGACAAGACCTAGAAACAAGAAAGACACTGTCTTCCAGTGGAAAGTCATCATTAGGTAGAACTCAGTTTCCACTAGGGATCTGCTCCAACTTGGGAAGCCAGGCATTCAAGCCAGCACAGCTATACCTACAAAGGCTTTTATGATGGCTAATCTTGGTTGTCAACTTGACACATCTGGGAAGACAGAATCTCCATCAGATTGGCCTGTGAGACATTTTCTTGATTGCTAATTAATGTAGGAAGGCCCAGTCCACTGTAGGTGGTACCATCCCTGGATAGGTGGGCCTGGCTGTTAAAAGTAACTGAGCAAGCCACACAAATAGAGCCAGTAAACAGTGTTCCTCTGTGGTCTCTGCTTGGGTTGCTGCTTCCAGGTTCCTGCCTTCAGCTGCTGCCCTGGCTCCCCTCCATTACAAACTGCAACCTGTAAGTTGAAATAAACCCTTTCATTCCCAAGTTGTTTTGGGTCAGTGTTTTATCAACAAACCAAACCAAACTAGAATAGTTTCCAAACACTACCAGTTGTGGTACGACATGTAAGGTAAACTAGGACCTAGGAAGCCTAGGGGGAAAGGTTCCTCTCTAGATTAGGGGGTGGGGTAGGCTGGTGACTCAGTGTTGTAACATGGCATGTGAGCTGAGTACTGGAGGACACCAGGCATCTGAGGCTGTGAGCACATTGGTGGAAAGAGTTTCCACATTGGACAGGAACAAGTGAGGACAGATGAGGACATGGCTCACTGGGATGTCTAGGAAGCAGCATGCTTCTCAGAATGTCTGCAGCTTGGGTGGGGGGAGAAACGAGGACAGGCAGAGAAAGAATCCTGAAAAGCACTGAATGTCATATCAAGGCCCTTCATATTTGACTCTGTCTTACATCATTTTCTGTCACTGTGACAGAATATCAGAGACAGGGTAATTTATAAGGGAAAGAAGTTTATTCAGGTTCATGGTTCTAGAGGTTGGAAATCCAAGTGTTAGGCAGCCACATATGGCAAGGACCTCACACTGCATCCTAATTCTCAGAGAAGCAGACAAGGCAAGTGGGTGC